CTACATTTTGACTTATAAATCAATACGGATACGTATTTACAGCTCGTACAGTGCCATATTTTCGCAGCAATGTTATTTGAGATCGACTTGGATATACATACAAAAAAATCCCTATATTTTTTAAAATAATCGGATTTCTTATAATCCGGTTATTTTTTTTTTTAATATTGGAATATTTAAAATAGCAGATAGTATCAATTTTTATCATTTATCACGAAAGAAGTAGCTGGTAGCTAACGCATACAATCATAAAAAATATGTTTTCAAAGCAACACTTTTTCAATGAAATAATTTATCACTGTCACCTGAATAATTGCTTTTAATTATACATTTTGTATACGATTGACTCGTCGTAAAAATTATTGCATTGTTATTGTTCTGTTGAAACAAAACAAGTTTGATATAAAATAAAGTAATTAATTCGCATCGCGTAGCTATCAGATCTTATTAATAACGCGATACAATAAAAATGAGAGAATCAAAGTTTGGCTCGTGAACAAAGTTGTTATTCGGGACAATAAGTAGTAATGATCGAGTTTGAACCGAGCTCACAAGGCGCGTGATAAGACAGAAACAGAACGGAACGAGTAAAGGGAAAAAAAAATAACAAAGGATTGCCATATGCTTTCTCGAGAATCCGTGATCTTCGAAAACTGATCGCGATATTCGACTTGCGTGCGTCCAACTTGAATCTCGCCGCGGCTTTACGAGTGTAAGTTTTACACCTTTGACTTTATTCGCCAACTTGGAACACGCGCGTGTAAAAGAAGTTCTATAGCTTTCTGTCAATCAATTTATCAAGAAATATAGCTAACTCAAAGAAGCAGAACGATTCATCTTTGGCAACTGTATCATATATTAAATCAGATCGACATTTTATGTTTCATCGCGGTAAATCACTTTCCTCGTTTTCATGAGGCGGCGCTATGGGATAATTTATTGATTCACGATATTGGCTTAGACGACATCAATCACCTATTGTTATAAAGACCAGTTCGTCATAAATGACGAACGTAACATAATAACGGTGCCTGAAAGGAATATAATTATTATAATGCTACAATGGAAGTATGATCCTTTTGAAGTTCGAATAATGAGACAAGGTGCGCGTAACCGGTTTCTAGCATGTTGCGTGTATTCATAGCTTGTGTGCGAGTAATATGTGAATTAAGTACGCATGTCTGACTCACAATGCAGTCTTCGTGCTGTCTATGCGCGCTGTAATACGCAAAATATCGCGCCATCGATCCGTTTTTCCGTAGGACGCCACCAAAATTCAAACAATATAAAGCGCATCGATTTACGCTTTATTTCTCATTTTCCGTAATAAACTCAAAAAATAAAGGAGAGTAAATGTTATACCGATTGATGTGCTAAAACTCTTCTTATATTCTTTTTATTCTTTATATTATATATTAATATTATGATGTAAATGTATCTATAACGTTCGAATTAAAAAATTTATCACGCGCGAGAAGAAATGCGGGAAAAAATGCGGGAACAAATTGGATGAAGCTTTCTTCCTTCTCATCAAGCGTTTACTATTGGTAACTCATATAAACCGGCGCGGCGTATAGAGTCGCATGACAAATGACTTTTGGCCCCATTTATGTCGACTTAACGCGACGCGAGAGACTATCCATCTCCGATTTTTGCTTACAGTAGTTAGTCTTCTCGGTACCGTGCAATATTCAGCCGGAGGCATCAACCGGGTTTCAACCTTTTCACGTCACGAAAGTTGGAAATTTCCGCGCCGAGAAACAGCAAGCGCCCGATATTCGGGTGTTAATTAATCGACAACATTTTAAGACGGGCGTACTTGAGATACCGATTCGAGAATCACTCCTCTCTCACGCTGTTCATATACATCACCGCCCTCCAACGCCGTTCTCTTTTGTATGCAATTCCTTCTTCTTCTCCTTCTCCTTCTCTTCTTCCTTCGTTTCATAGCGAGTTATTACAACAACCCTCCATCTCTCCCAACCCTTGTTACCCGCCGTTAATTAGAGTACAGTCTGCTACCGACGACAACCAACTGCAAAGGAGAGTCTTCAAGGGCGAGAGTCTCCTATGCCGCAGTATTCCACCACTTCGTTTCCCCCCTTTGCCTAAACTCACCCCAGTAGCGTTCTCTCTCCCGCCCGATCCACTATCACCGGAGCACGATGTTTGCGGCTTGAATTATTCCGGCGGATCTACACGCGACCCTGGATCACGCTTTAAAGGATCTGCTTGTCTAGCAGTCTCAGTCGTTACCGCGACGACATCGCTTACGACGGAGCCAGGATCTAACTGGAGGGACCTTACTAAATGGACGGAGGACGCGTAACGATCTAGAAGATTGATGCGCCACAATGGCGCGCGATAGTATGTTCTCAGTTTCCCAGAGTATATATATTGTGCGTTGCTCGACTTCGGACTTTGGAATACGGCGACATTCCGCTTGGCGAATGTACGTATATCACATTTGCATCGTCATGCTTATGCCGCCGACTATATTTCTGCAAGTCGCTTTTGCCGTACTTGTGTTTGTTAAACAGAAACTCGACATGATATAACGGATTACTTCTGGGTGGAAGTTTAGTTATCCGAGTAATATATCTAAGAATTAATTATTACGTTGCGAAATTAGGATATTAAAGCGAGTACACTCACGGAGTAGAGCACGACCCCAATTTCAAAATGTAATTTTTAATCTTGAGAAATATATCACTTGACCTATGTTTCTTATTACAAATGTTGGCGAGTAAATCTTGTAAAAGCAAGGAAGGTGCAACTTCGAGACCTGTTCATTAAGACAAACAAGGTAAGATATGTCGGAGTTGTAGAACGGTAGTGCTTAATTTCTCACGATGAAGTTCTAGTGATTAAGACTGCGATCAGACTTCGTGGAAGTTGCAAACTCAAGGACGCTCACTTTCTCATATCAGCTTATACCGCGGCCTGTAACGGTAACCTTAGACATAAATGGAGAAAATTGAGTTACTTCGGGCACGTTTCAGATTGATTTCTAGGTAGAGGGGCCCTATATCTTTCTACGGAGCGAAGCGTGATTGGTTTTCAATCCGTTCTACGTGGATCGAATGATCATTCGGTAAAACTCTCTACTTCGGTTAAACCCGCTTGCAATATCGTTTTTCTGTGTATGCGATAATTTGATCCTGCTGTAGATACATTGTTACCGATTCTAGATCTTCCGCGTTTTCTCTTGGGAATACGTAGGATAAAATACTATCGACAACCAAGTACGATCAGTCGACTATTTTTAAGTTACACTTTATAATTTAATATTACGATATTCGTAATGATATTTCCAATGTAAAATTCTTCAAATACAAAATATAAATATTTTTATAAATTATATACAAATTATTTATATAAATGTAAATAAATACTAGATTTTGCATCGAGTTTTAATCGTTTAGGAAAATATAATACGCAATGCCATATTTTGACGACACTCTCGTATTATATCGCATTATATGAGTTTATGGACCGCACAATCCACTTATCAACGTATCGTGTATATAATACAATTTCATTATTATACGCAAAAGTTATGAGATCATAAAGTGAGATAGTTATGGATGGTAATAACTATCGATTTGAACTTTCGATGGTGATAATTAACAATAAAATATATTAAAACCGTCCAGTCTAATCAATTATGGGACGGACTATTCCTGTAATTCGATTATTGCGACGTCCATCAGGCGGAGTGACGGCATTAACGGATAAATGTCGCGGGTTATAAAAATTTAATGTCCGTCGAGATCTGAATACTCGTGAGATTGCTTTTCTCTTAAGCGAGTATTTTATGCATTTATCATCATTCCCGGTTTGACGCTCCTCGTTACGCAGGCAATAGATTAAATTCTGAACTCATTTTTCCAGAGGAATATCATTAAAATAATTTATGATTGCATTAATGGAACATTTTCTCACAGCAACGTCTAATTTGTTCCAATGTCATTATATCTGGATTAAAATTTTCTCTTAAAACGTTTTAAAGTAACGTTGTATTAAGAACTTTGAACAGTACTTAACGTATAATTTTTATTTTATTGCATTATCGACCTTCTTTTGCAGAAAGTTTTCAAATCAATATTAATTAATTCAAACAGATATCATTGTCTATTATTTTATATTACTTTAAAAGGAATGTATTAATGACTTTTAACATTTTATCTTTAATTAATATTATAAAAACATATGGTCGAGGAGTTCTATTCAACTTTAGATTGGTTCATTTTACTTTGACGTCTCTCTTCTCAATTGCCGTGCAGAAAGCTGATGCGCCATTAATTGTACTCGTTTGCGAACTTTCAACCAGTCGCGGCCCGTTAATTGACACTATCAATCCTTCGTATAGGTTATCGTGAAGTACGCTTTCAACGTTCGTCGTTGGCGCTATAACCTTGATTGCCAAAGTTCGAGTCGTTAAAAAAGATTCGGAGAAACGCGAAAAAAATAACGCTGCGCGATATTTCATCGTTTACCGCGCTACTTCTTTCCTTCCTTTTTCGCTTTCCCGTCGGACGAATGAAAATATGTCGCATAAAAAAAAAGGGAAAACGCATATGAGCTCGTTTTGACATGTTTTTTCAGTTCGTAACGAAGCGACGCGCGATGCGGTCCGAAGAATAATTTATCATAATGTATTATCATACAAAAATGAAGATTAGTGTGCGTGACAACTGCAAATATCGCATGTTCCAAATCATGCGGAATGATAAATGATGATAATAACTCACATATACAAAGAATTAGCTGCACATTACGTTTTAATTTTAACTAATTTAACATCAACATTATATTTTATTATAACATTCATATTTTGCAGTTAAATTATCCTGAGCACAGCATTTCATCGAAAATATTTATGTCTTTTAAAAGAAAAATAAAAAAATATTATATTATTATTAAATTAAATTCTTTTCTATTCCATTATCGTAATTTTATTTGTCTCTATGGCAAAGAATAACAAGTATTGTACTCACTGTATCCTCCCACGTAGATCGGCGTCCATGTTACTTGAGTGTAGGCCAAGGGAGTCGCTGCGAACAACACGGCGCTAAACCATACCGCCCGACGTACCGCACTCATTTCACTAACGGCCTCAATAGTTGTCATTTTTTTTTCGCTTCAATCAGTTCTCCGCCTCAATATCATCTTCTCCGACATACCTCCGCTACTCTTCTTCGTTTTTATCTGCCACGCTCGATCCTCTTACTCGTTCCCGTTTTTTCCCCTTTTTTTCGTCCGAGCGCGGGCGCACAACAATACGTCACAGCCGTTGAATATCTATGCAATGGAACGAAACTCTCGATATTGCTGTCGTTTTATCCTGTCGCGTTTGATAACTGGTATTTTCATATCATTGCGACCTGACGTCGCCTAACGGATGATAACTCGAAGGAAATTATAAGAATACGCCGCCGCGTTTCTATGCATAATATTTATGTGCGCGAGTCAATCAAAGAGTTCTTAGAAGAGGAATTTCATTAAGTGATTTTATCTGCGCGTTGGTAGGAACGAAGGATCGACACGCAAATGGGATGTCGAGGAATGAAAATTCAATAACAATATTATTTTAAAAATCAGAACAAAGAAAGATGTTAAGAGGTGCCAATGATTAAACAGAAAGAGTGAAGCATTCTTATTCGGTTCGTTGGTAATTAATCTTGGATTCTGGGTCATGGTCGAGTATCATGATACATAATCGACTCCGCGAGGCAACGAAATTAATTAAGCGCGATCACGTCTCTGCTCTAATTGGTGCTTGATACAAAATTAAAACACGCGCATTGTCGCCGGCGACAAATATGGAAATTTGATACAAAGAGAGAAGGATAGCGGTCCACCGTTATTTTTCAAACGCACTTTTTCCGTGTCATCAAGCAAAAGAGCTTTATGTCACGTAAAATTTTGCACTCTCGTCGCCGTTATTTCTCTTCCTAGACAGAATCTTCATTTCTGCACGAGTCCTGATTTATGCACCCTATACTTCACGTTCCTTCTTCTCAGAACGTATTACTCCGTTCCTTCGGGTATAACATGAAGACACAATCATCACTTCCACCGACGGCGATCGCTAGAGTAACGGCCTTCCTTCTCTCTCGCCCCTCTCTATCTTTTCTTTTTTACGTTCGTAACATGTGCCAGACCACTTTTTTTCTTTCTTTCGGCTCTTCACCGGACCCCGATCTTCCTCGCTCTCTGGCAGAATTAGACTTTTGCTCATGTAGACTTTTACTCGTTTTCCTAAATCCTTCAGTGACTTTGCCCGGATCAAAAAGCTTTTTTCTGGCGATACGAGATCCCGTCTGCAACAAAATAGCAAAACATTTCATTAGAAGGATCCCTTTGACGTCATCATCATTAAGAGATGAAGCACGGACAGGGTTCAAAGAATTTTCTTGGAAAATTCCAAGACTAAGGGAGATTATTGGAACTATTTTCTGCAAATTTGTACCGTTATATCCTGAGTGACTTTTTTAAATTTCGTAGTATTTGTCACTTATTTATAAAATTTTTCATATAAAATTTTTGTCTTTATAACAACAAAATGAAAAAAGATGAAATTGTAAAATTCATATTTGCAATATCGTGTGCTATGCAGAATATAAATATGTAATAATATTATGTATAATTAAATGAAAAATTGTTTCAATTTTATTGGTAAATTTTATGTTGGAGTATAAAATATATATATAAATATATATATATATATATAT